CAATTCTGTGTTGAATGCAGTACTTTGGGATATCTTGTATTATTCCCTACTGCATCGTACACAACATCAATATTCCACTTGTACAGGATCTTTTCCTGTTTGTGTGGATACAGATTGTCCGACGGACTTGCGTCCGGCATACTTGCGTCGAATCCCAACATCTTGCACGATCAAAGTCCGATCGCACGTGTCGAAAACCTCGTACTTGAATAGTTTCTTTTGGAACGTAAAAACTCATGTTTCGTCATATCCCAACAAACTGCATACGGTTTTCGGGTTTTTCAGGTTCCATATATTCAAGTTTAAAACTGCTGATTCCGCCTCCTCTTTCCTGCTGGCGCTCACTATCTCTGTGGCGAATGTCACATCATAATCTTCGTCCATTCTTTTCGTTCTCTTTCATCTACAGAACCGTACCTACAACTTTGGCAAGTAGTTTACTTCCGGCCACCCTTCGCTTGTTCACGTGCGACCTACAAACGGTGTGGGTTGACTGCAAGACGATGTGAGATATCAGTCAATGTGACGGCTGTACAGTACTGTGAAACTGTAGAGTGCCAAACTCCACCGTTCATGGCTTTTACAATATGCTGGTGGGATTTTTAGTGGGTTGTCAGCCATCTCAGTTTTCACGTGCACACCCATGAAGTACCGGTACCTGGTACTTCATACTGTACCGGTAAGCAAAGCTGCCCTGTTTGGGAAAAGAAGACGGGCCACTTTGCAGAAAACTTTTTCCTTCGCTTTATTTTAATTTGTGATCGATTGATGGTTGGGTCTCAATCTGGACTAATTCGAGTCAGGCTGAATCGAGATTAATGGAGAAGTAGAGATCCGAAGCAAAAGGTGATCCGTTGAGAGGAAAGAAATTCAAGACTCAAAGAGACAAACAATGGCAAATCAAGCGCAATCCAAGAGAACAGATCGTCCAAGTTCCAACCGTCGTAACCACCTCAAGGAGGCGGACGGGAGCAGTGGGAATGCGATCACCGTCAGCAATTTGTTCCCAATCGATCGCTACTACGACGCCTCACAAAAAGTTTTAAATGCATTTCAAGTTTCCTTCGAGGAAAAAAAATTGGACGACGCTTATGTTTATGGGATGCGATATTCTAGATTTTGTGTGAACGAAATTACAAAGCATGATTACTATAAGGCAACAAAATTCAACCAGAAGCGAGCCGTTATGAATAAACAAGTCACAGAAGTTATAAACAAACTGGAAATAGTTGCTGACATGATGGATGCAGAGGAAGTAATAAAAGAAGCCGAACGCAAAGCAAGGTTTCAGAGACAAAAAGAAGAAGAAGCGAGGAGACGCCAAGAAAAATTACAAGAACTGCAGCAGCGCGTCAATCGCCAGAAGCACTCTGCCGTCGTTTCGAGTCCGACGATAAGCGCAGAAAGTATACATGATTCCGCCCTGGCAAAGCTACAACGGCTCAATGGACCTGTGGAGCCACCAGCAGTAAGTACTTCCAGATCACCATCGCAGTCTATGGGTGAAAATACAGAGTCAGAATTAGAGGATAGCCAACAGGACCCAGACGGCCTCATCGCGAGCTCTGATGATATTCCTCCTCCCTTGTTACCACCACAACCTGATGATGAGCCAGAACATTCTGCACCCCCCAGCTACCAGGACATTGTCAATTATTTTGGTCCTAGCAATATCCAATCTACTTCAATTGAGGAATCTGATAAGCCACAGAACAAAAAGGCTGCACCGAAAACAAAGTTGAGTATTCGCCAGTATATCGCGAATGCAGAACGAGCACGCCTGGCGTTACAACAGCAGAGAAAGATATTAGTCTCTCCGCTGCAGACCTATCAAGGGCGCGTGAGAGGATCGACGAATGGTTGCACTGTTATATCCGCGACTATTGCCTCAAAACACCTAGAGACTCACGGTGGTGTGTCTGACGCTCACATATGTGACATTATCGACAAGGAATGCATCCCATTGTTACGTGATATTCGAAGTAGATTGGGGTTGCATGGAGACTCGCTTATCATTCCCTCGGATGTTCATGACCACATGGTGGACCATCATCTCCTTTTCCAGCACAAGTTCGTGGGAGCCGTGGGAGGAAACATAGTTGATAGAGAGCATTTGGGAGAATTGTTTTCTCTACTGGCGGGGAAACCAGACAAGACAGCACACTTTAAAGCCGGTGCTACTTTTTTCTTCCGGGAGCACGTGGTATCAATTTTGAAATTCCCGACTAGCCCTACAGAGGCAGTATATGATTTAGTCGATTCTCTGCCAACGTGTAACGGAAGAGGGAGTCGAACAAGGTGCATGTCCCTAGAAGCACTCAAGGTTCAAATGGAGTGGTACACGAGCCACAAGTTTAGTGATTCGAACTGTACATACATCGAGAAGAACAAATGGAACGATTCGATGGCAGATTTTGATCCACGTGTATTTCAAGCCTTCGTTTGGGCAAACCTGCCGAAACCAAGTAATTGAACGCTGCATAGTCCATAGATCTCATCTCCAATCCTAGACGGGCCTGCTCCGCGGTTGCAAGTTGAATCTGACAACGCCGCACTGTTCTAGGCACGATTGATGAGAACCAATAGTAGCCCAGCCAATTGATCTTGTATTCAGTACCTTTAGTACGTCACAACATCCCTCCAAAACCAGCATGGGGAGTACAGTCTCTACTAGTCACTGGAAAACGTCTACGATATGTTAAGTTCTTTTGGCAACTCGACTCCATTTTTCGTCAACAAAGCCCGAGCAAGCTTTGGTTTCATGCTATTCAATACACCCTTCAGAAGCAACGTGTTATACTCTTCCTTTGATAAATCTCCTGGGCGGAGCGGTCCTTTTCCGTCCTTGCTTGCAGCACTCATATGGGCGCATATAATTGCTGTTGCGACGCTCAAGTTGAATGATTCCGCCATACCACACTGCCAGAACAACAAAGCTGTGAGCGAGGACCACGATTTTTACTCTATGGTTCCAAAATCTGAAAGAACAGTACCATATTAATGTAGAAGGATTCATCAGACATCGTTTTTGCCACGCCTGACACTCCGCGCTCTTCGTTCCCCATCACAATGCAAATTTTCTTCCCAGATGCATCCCAGTCAATCTCTCTGATATCTTTTGACTCTGGATTCACATCGGTGCACATGATGTGATAGCCATTCTGTTTCATTTTATTCAATGCCAGTTCTGTACTAAGATGGTTCCTGATTGTCAGCCACTTCGCAGCACCTGCAGCGGTCCTCATGCCTGCATTTTTTTAGTAACGAATGCAAACACTAACAATCAATTATCCTTTTGGTTTACCTCTCTTCTGATTTAAAGCCGCTTTTCCTTGATATTGGCCAGACTGCATGACCAAATCAACATTTTGCATTCCGAAGGAATCAATTGTACGCAGACAAGCGAAACAGTTGGATGGATTAGATACGTTTTCGAACAAGAATTTTGTTTGTTGAGTCCTCTCTAGCATAATCGATTGGATTCGATTCCACCTTTCTTCTTGAATAAAGGGTACCAAAGCTTGTGTAGCTTTCAACACAAGCTCATCGTCTAAACTATTCCAGAGTTCATGACGTCTCTCAAAGTCTTTTTGTAGTGCGACATCGTACTCAGCTTCAATTTTTGCAATTGCTTCCCAATCATCAGTGTTGGATGCCACATGCAAACCATCTCCAGTGAACCTCCTGTCCCATTTCGGTGACTGTGAAAAGTCAAATCTCTCCCATTCTAGATCTACTGTTGGTTGGTTATCCTTCCTTTCTTTCCTCCGACTTCGCGACGATTTCCGTTCTGCACCAGCTGAGAGGGACGACGACGTTCTGCATACGTATGTTGCTCTCACTTGCAACGATTCCACTCCCTTGATGAAGGATAGACAACGGGTCGTTACCATCAACAAGATTAATAAGGAGTCAAGGATCATGAAAGAAGGGTTTGTTGATGTGGCAAAATATGAGGAGGTACGATTCGAGGGCGTATGAGTACCTCCGGTGGTTTAACTGTGGTACTATTGTACCGGAACAGGTAATAGGTAATAGCAAAGTACAGATTCAAGTCTGTTCTTCCACTCTGCAATCGTCTCAGTCGATCGCTGGGACGTTCCAGAATTTCAATTTGTAAACACATTTTTCGAGTTGAGCGAGCGAGATGTTCGATGGTAATTTTCGATCTAAAAGAGAAGTCAATCTAGGGAGCAGAGGCAACCGGCGCCGGAATCAGCAGAAGCGAAGTAGCAACAAGCAAGATTTGCTGAGAAATGCGCAAGAGCTACGCAAGCAACGCCAACAACAGCAGAATCGTGAAAAGGCCGTTCGGTTGATTCAAAGAGTAGCTCGAGGCTGGAAAGCACGATTATGGTGTCTCGAATACCTTCTATCGAGGGAAGAAGTGGTAGCTGTCTCAATATGTCTATCGCTAAGGAAGCTGCTCCCGTCTCATTCGTCGAGCATACTACAGGTTCTTTTGAGATTCTCAAACAACGATTCATGTCCCTCTGTAAGAAGAGACAATTCTGCAAACCTAGAAGACAAGGCAGACAGCGAATGGTTTTCGCAGGAACGCATTGTTCGTTTCACACTACAGTGCTTTACACCAATATTGGATAGCGCGGAGTGCCAGGCTCTGTTCTCGATCCTTGAGAATTATATGCCTATTTTGAGTATTCGAAACGAACTTTTCGTTGATTTGGTAATGTGCTTCAAATCGTGGTGGCATCAGCCTTCGAGCGATGAAAGCATCACAGCTACGCTTTTTTCTTGGGCAAACAAGGCTCGCGAGGGTCTGTTTGAAACTCATTCAGACGCACTACTTGGGTCGGTTCTGCTTAGCGCCAGAAATGATCGGGTTGAAACTCTCGAGAACGCATACTCAAAATGGTTCTTACCATTAGCCGCATCATTCGATGAAGATGACAAACAATCCGATGATGTGATTCTAAGGGCAACATTGAAAAATTTGAATGGAATGGAAGAAGAACAGAACACTCTGTCAAACACTCTGAATTTTGTAACCCAGTCTCGTGACTTCATTGACCCTCTTCCACTTGTAAAGTTCATGAGCCATATGTTGACCAAGGAGAGTACTTCTCCGTTGATAGTGATATCATCCTTGTTAATTCGGGGAGACTCTCTAGATTTTTCTGTAGTACCGGTGCCAATTGAATCGGTGTATGAAGAGTCTGATCATGAAGAGGAAGCTGACGATGTTTCCAAGCCAGATGTGAAGCGACAGCGGCCAACAAGCCGATACGCGAAGAAAGACCTTCTGACTGTGCCAAAGCTCGATAAGCTATATCAAGATCGCATTGAACAACTTAAAAATCAGTGCAAAGCAGATGACGGAACTAAAGCATTGGCATTAAAGGTGATTGATGCACCTTGGTTGGAGTGGGGGCTACAGCTATTGGAAGAAGCGACCAAGAGCGAAGCATACGTCAAATTGCTTGCCCTGCTTCTGCAAGCAAGTTCTAGTATGCGACCGACGATGAAGTTAGGCGTATTCTCGAAACTCTCGTTTTCGAAACGCTTTATGGAACTGTTGTGGCGGGTTGTCACTCTGTCTTCAGAGTACACACCGTTGATCGTCTTTTGCGAACTGTTCAGCCATTATCTGGTCGCTCTCAGCGATTTAGAATTTGTAAGACTCCATGCAGATGATGAAAACGCGCAAGCTCTTCAGGCCAGGGATATTGTGAATCATTTGAAGAATGTATTGTTTGATGTCTATTGGAGTAAGCCTGTGTTGGCATCGGAGATTTGCCCATCGAATCCAAACGCACGGATTCTTTTGTCTGGAACTAAAGTTTGGAATTCGCTATATGAGCGATGGAATCGCCTGGTACGGTCTCCTTTTTGTGACGAGTCTATGTGGTGGTTCCCACACCTCGCTTCCAAAGATGGAGATCGAGCCATTTTACCGGCGAGAGAGCAGCAACAAGAGGAAAATCAAGATGATGATTCAATGAACGAAGAAAATGACTCGGTTGACGAAAACAGCGCTGAGATGCGGATCTCGGAACCTGATTCTCTGGCTGACTCATTCAGTGACCCAAAAATGGCAAGGGTTTTAACATGCATTCCACAAGCCATTCCATTCGACCGCCGGGTAAGGCTCTTCAGTTCACTGTTGAAAGCGGACAAACTTTTAGTTTCCCAACAAGCTTCCCACTTGCAGGCGTTGATGGCAATGCAAGGAGGGGAACAGAATGTTTGGATGGACGGTACTGTGAGGGAAAAGGTAAAAATAAAACGAGCCGAACTATATAGTGATTCGATGAGTCAATTGAACGCGCTGGGTAAGAAGCTTAAGCATCAGGTGCAAGTAACGTTCATTAATCAGCACGGGGCCGAAGAGGCTGGGATTGATGGAGGAGGAGTCTTTAAGGAATTCTTGGATGATCTAATCAAAGATGCCTTTGCTGCTAGAGTAGAGAAATCCGATAGTGCCACTCCGGCATTATTCACTGTTACCCCACACCAGACCCTTGCAGTAAACATGGATGTGACAGAAAACAAAGAGATGCTTGCGCACTACGAATTCCTTGGACGCGTGCTAGGAAAAGCAGTGTACGAGTCTATCTTGGTCGAGCCACAGTTTTGCCTGCCATTTTTGAATCAACTACTGGCGAAACAAAACTCTACAGAAGACCTAAAGAATCTCGATGAGGAGTTTTACAAGAACCTGATAAAGTTGCGCACCCTCGGCGATCAAGAAATCGAAGCGTTGGGCTTGACTTTTGAGATGACAATAGGGAGTGCATCAGCCCCTAGAACCATTGATCTGATTCCTGGAGGTGGCACCAAGGCCGTAAATTCGAGAAATGTCTTCAAGTTTATCCACCTGATTGCCCATCATCGGCTGAATATTCTCGGATCTATCCAGACCAGAGCATTCCTTCGCGGGTTTCGAGATTTGATCCCGGCTTCGTGGGTCCGGTTGTTCTCTGCATCTGAGCTTCAGAAGCTTATCAGCGGAGATGATTCGATCCATGGCATAAGCGTAGGCTCCTTGAAGCAGGCAATGCAGTATGGTGGCGGTTATCATCCTTCACAACCCTTCATTCAAGATTTTTGGAGTATCCTAGAAGATGAATTTACACCAGAGCAGCAGCGCAAGTTTCTCAAATTCATGACATCGTGCTCTCGCCAACCGTTACTTGGATTTGGTAGCTTGGAACCAGCACCAGCAATCCAACAGATCCGACTCACGGATGAAGAGATAACAGAGAATGCCAAGCTTCCCACGTCACAGACATGCTTTAACTTGCTGAAGCTCCCAAACTACAAGAACCGAGATCTACTGAAAAAGAAGTTGATTGATGCAATTGAATCGGGTGCAGGATTTGAGCTCACATAGCTCTAGAGAAAAATACTTATTCTAGAGCCTAACAGTAGCTTCATCCCACGATCTAGTGAGTTTGGGTTCTTGAGCAGCGGCAACGAACGGTGCTACACCAAGTCGCGATCGGAAGTTGGTTGTTTTGGAAGCCGATACTGCTGATCTACTTCCATGTAATACTTCTTTATCATTTTTTTCACTTCGTCTTTGTTCGCTGCTTTCGTCAGGTTGAGACATTGCTTCGCTGTTGAACCCTTTGTGGTTCGCATCAAGACTGCTTCTGGATAACACTTCAGAATCTGGCTGATTACCCGAGTTGATGCTCCGACCCCACATGCTACATGAAGACTGAATGTCAAAGAATGGAAAAGATAGGCATTAGAATTCAGACGACAACAACCAGTTCAACTCAAGAACGATTGAATGAACCTACGGAGTCCAACCCCTTTTGTCGAAGCCTCGAGCACTGTTCGACTTATATCGCAATAGAACATCGATAACATCGTCATTAGCACCGTTGGATAAGGCATAGTGTAAAGGTAGTCTTCCTAGGTTGTCCGCTGTCAGCGCAGCGTCGGCATACTGCTTCAGAAGTAGTTCCACTACATCTTGCATTGCATTCTTCCGACACGCGCAGTGAAGGGGCAACCGTTGATAGGAAGACTCCTTGCAGAACACAGAATCAGGATAGGCGCGAATCAATGCTTCGATACTTGGATACGGAGCGCCCGCTACCAAAGCTTCATGAATCGGAAGAACATTCGCATCTTTGATCCCCTCAAACAATCCTTGACGCGTGGTCCAGGTTTTCGCAGCACTGGGTTTTACGTTACAAATCTGCATAACTCGCTCCCATTGCTCAGATGTTATCGCATTACTCAATTCGCTTGGCATGGCTATTTCGAGATGAGGCGGGTAGGGCACTACGCAAAGTAAATGAAGTTGCCAACAACAGAAAAATATGTCGACTGGAAGATCAAATGAAAGACCCGGAATGACTGACTGATCTGACTCCGCAGAGTGCAAGCCAGCCGGGCTTTCGACATTTTTTGAATTGCAGATTTCATTTGATGAGTGAGATTTTTTGACAACAACCCCCACCTTGCAAAGTACTGTTGGAGAACACAGGCTGCTCGGCAATAACATGACCAGCCGCCATCTACGGACGCAGTCGCAACCTCGTCCGAGATCGTCTATGAACCGAGTTGGACAGTCGTTCGAGGCTTGGGAAAACGTCAGTGACAATGCACGTTCATCTTCTCAGTTGAACGATAGACGAGCGAAGTCAAGTATGAGGTATGAATCCGCAACACGTGATTCTTCTAGGCAGCGAATGCGTAACCGAGATCCTAGTCCTGTAACTTCTTCTTGTGGCCATATTTCACGAGCGTCTAGTGCAGGTAGGATGAGACAAGGGCCTGCTTCAAAGAATAAAGAGCGAGGCGGACCTATAGGACGAGAATCACCCCTTCGTGTGCGGCAGGACCTCTCAGTGGAAAAGAACCCACGACGAATTCCTCCTGTAACGAAAGCACCATCATTGCAGCGAGTTCCTTCGCTCCAAAATACTCCTTCACTCCAACCTGCCAGCTCAAGTGTGTCGCAGGAGGAGCTGCAAGCTGAACAACGGTTGCAAAAGGCAGAAAACAAAATATCTGGATTGCTTCAGGAGTTGGATGAGCTTCGATTCTTCCAAGAGCTGGAGCACAAAAGTCCTACGAAAACTCCGAAAAAGCCGCAGGCATCGTCACACAACCCGGGCGTTCCCATAAATATTCGAGCTCTCTCTCCTGCAAGGGGTGGTGGTAAATTGCCCCCTCCTCCACCATCCACCACCAGAACATCGAAGTCAAATGGAGGCGGACTGGAAACCTACCAGCCACTGTCCCCACGGAAAATAGCCAAATTAGACAGAAACTCATTGGAATTGGAGTGCCAAACACTGGTTCGAAAGCTGCAAATAATCGATCGTGAGAAGCAGTCGCAAGCTGCAATGATTGAAATGTACGAAATATCAATGCAAGAACACGACTATGACAAGAAAAAAATTGAAAAGTTAGAGGGAGAACTGAAAAAAGTTTCAATGGAGCTGAAAAGACAATTGCAGAATATTCAAAGGGGGAAAGAATTACTTGTGAAGGAATACGAACAAAGGATACAGAACAGCATTAGAAAACTCGAACGAATTCAGGACAGGGCAGACTCTTTCAAGGTAGATTTAGGCGTAGCAAAGAAAGAAGCTGAGAAATGGAAGCAGGAGTCTCAAAAGTGGCAAATGGAGTTACAAGACCGAAATGACAAGCTCGATGACCTCAAAGGAAATCATCTGGCTCTAGAAGAGCAGTTGACCGCCCTCCGCGAGGTTAACTCCGGTGTTGTAGATAAGGTGGAGAAAAAGCGTTCGGAAATAGCAACATTGAAGAAAGAACTTGTCAGTGCTCGAAAGGCTGTCGACGAGAGTAAGGAAGCGCGAAACGAGAGATATGAAGAAAAAATTTCAGAACTTGAACAGCATCTACTTCTCGCGAAGGAAGGCAATTCCAACCTGGAGGCGCAATGTTTGCAAATTAAAGGGGTCGTGACGAAGCGAGACAAAGCACTCGATGCTGCCTCAAAGCTCGAGTCAGATAATGTAGCTCTCATCTCGCAGCTAAGGAGTCGCGTGACTGACCTAGAACGAGCGAACCAAACACGCTTTGAAGAGGGTAAACGGGCAGCAAAAGTTGTGGAAAACAAACGGATGCAGGAGCTGGTTGCTGCTAGGGCGAAAGAAGCCAAAGACTATGAATGCCGCCTAAAGGCAATGCAGGAGCAACTTCGACATCAATCAGATCGTCACCATGCCGAGATTGAAGAAACACGAAAGCGAAACGATGAAAATCTGAGCTTGATGAGAGACGAAGTCAAGGATGAAATACGTCGTGTCGAGGGTGACAAAGTTGCTCAATTGGACTCGGAATTGAAGGTGCAGAAGAGGAGCTACGAACAGATGAAGGCAGATTATGCTGCTCGCGTTAGGGAACATCAAGAGAAAGCTCGTGAGGTGGCCGCTGATTTCCAGAGAAAAAGTGAAGGGTACCAAAGTGAATTGGAGAGAGTGAGTGCACGTATGGCAGAGCTCGATAGATCTAGTACCCAAAAAGACAATGAGATCATTCAATTGAAGGAATCCTTGGTTGCAGCTAAGAAGAAGCTCGACAATGGCATGGAAAAATTGGAAGCAAAAGCCAAAACGGAGATCCACAAGAGCAAGCAATTGTTGAATCAAGAGCGCAAGACTTTCGCAACCACAGAATCATCCCTCCAAGCAGACATCGCCACTTTAGAGAGCGAAAAAGCCGCAATGGAAAGAAAATCTAATGAGCAAGTAGAAGACCTCTTGCAGCGTATCAATGGCATGCAACGGCAGCTTGCTGAAACGCAGTCCGTTTTCAAAGAAAACGAGGAACACAAGCTTCGGCTTCAAGAGCTCAAAAACGCCCTTCAGGCAACTCAGAATGATCTATTCTCCGAACGTTGTCGCAACGAGGAGGTTGAGAGCGAACTTCGAGCGGAACTTGCGAAATTGGAAGGGAAATTAAAAGCCAGCGAATCGAAGTCAATGGCTAAGAGAGCCCAGTTCAAGGAATTGGAGCAGCAGCTGGATTGCATGAATTCTACTCAGTCGAAGGTGGGAGAAGAAGCTGAATCAACAATAAAGAGATTGACAACGAGACTAGACAGTGTCTCAGCGCTGCTGGACAGAGAGAAATTATCGTCGAATGGAAAGGATGCTACCATCAGGCAACTCCGAGAAGAAGTTATGGCGCTGCAAGAAAAGAGCCAAACGTTCCACATGGAGACCTCCATCAAAGATATGAAACGGGAGGCACAGGGTTTTGTGCTCGGCAGTGATCGCAAAGAGAAACAAATCGAGGATCTCCGACAGAAAGTTGACTGTCTTGAAACTGAGAAACTGAGAAAGGAGAGTGAGTTGTCCAATCTTCGACAGGATTATCAAGATTTGTCTGAGCTACTAGAGGAGAAGTTACATTCGAATTTGAATAATGTGGAACTTAAAAGAAGGGAACGAGATTTGAAACCAACTGCGAACAGTCGACACTCAGATTTGGAGACCAGAATGAAGGCAGAGATCAGCAGCTTGAAGACCAAGCTACATCGAAGCGAGGAAGAAAGGGATAGCCTCTTTTCTCAACTGACACACACGAAGGCTAGGCATGATTCTGCTGTAAAGGATGTAGAAGAAACGAGGGAAACTTGCAATGGAAACGCTGATGATACTGAACTAAAATCCAGCCATATTCGTGACGTTGTTCAGCGTTACACTCGGGTTATTGCTGACTTGGAAACACAGTTGGAAGAAGAATCACACTTTCGGGGTGAGCTTGAGGATAAGCTGAATAGTGCTCGAGAAGAGCTAAAGGAAAAGCAAGACCATACCAAGGAACTTGTGCATCGTCACACGAAAAACGCCATGCAGCTCGAATCAGATCTCAGTAGGATCTCAATGGAAAGAGACGAGCTGGAGTCAAGGTTGGATCTAATGACAAACGGCATGGTGAAAGAACGGAATGAGCACAATCTAAATACAAAGGCAAAATGCACTGAGGAATATGTGAACCTAGGCAGCGCCGCGAAGGAGCACGAAGACTATCATGATCACCTCGACAGAAAAGAAAAACAACTCAAAGAAATGAAGCAGAAGATACCTGAATTGCTGGCAGATCTCGACTCGCGAACAAGGGAAAGGGATCACTACAAAGCTGCTACAATGAAGAGTGAGTCCGAGCTGGCAAAAATAAAGATTCAATTCGACGAAACCATTGATCAGTACGTCAGGCAGGTGTCTGAATTGGAGGTTCGTCTGAAAGAGAAAGCTAAAAATGACACATTCTCTAGAGACAATTATGAGACATCACGCCTTGAATCCTCCCGAAACGATAAAAACATCCGAGAGATGAGCGAAGCTATTAAAGAGCTCGAGTCTTTGTTGGAAGTTGCAAACTGCAACAAAGATACGTCGAGACTCAAAATAGAAACGATCGCTCGTGAGCTCGATGAGAAGCGAGCACGATCCACCGAGCTGGAAATGGAGAAAATCGAGCTTGAGAGCAAACTGCTTACTCTATCAAGAGCTAAAGATGACCTTAGATCAAAGGTCACGGAATTAACGTCGAGGGTTGAGAGGAAAGAACGCGAAGTACGTGAGGTGACAGACCGGTACAATATGCATGTCATGGAACTTGAGTCAAAGTTGGACCAAGATTCCGACGCGAAACATACATTAAGGCACGAAATTGACAAATTAAAGGCCGATAGTCATGCATTGGCGAGAGACGCGGACGCGAGAGCAAAGGATATGACGCGACAGCTCGAAGCTAGGTTAGAATCATCTGCAAGGGAAAGAGACGACATCGAAAAGACTCTGCAAAAACTGACGCATGAGAAGTCGGAGGTAATAAATGCGCTTGAAGGGGTAATAAACGAGGTACAAAATCGAGAAGATGAAATTGAATCGCTAACTGAAATTCTTCAAAGAAGGGACGAAGAGTTACAGCACGCAAAAATAATTGCAACCAAGGCCCTTCAATCGGCCAAGGACATTCAGAAGCGATACAAAGAGAAGGAGAAGGATCGCCACACTGACATGATGGAAAAAATGGACGAACTCCATGATAGCATTGGCGTGCTTTCAAGCAAGAATGACTCACTACAAAGAAAAATATCAATGCTTGAACGGGAGTTACGGGACCGCAACATAGAGTGCAGACGACTAAAAGATCAACTGAGACAAATTGATGGAGGGCCTCTGTGCACTCTGGACCAACGGCCTATAGACGAGACAGCGTCTATCTCAAAAGCGAGAGATGACGGTTCAACATATTCCCAGGCATCGTTTCGCTCTTCGGCATCTCCAAACTTTCTGCCATCCGCAACACCATCGTTTCACCAGGAGGGTTCGGAGGCCATTGAAGATCCATTCTTAGAAGAAGGCGATTATGACATGGATGCCGACTCATTCTCGCCTTCAAATAGTCCCATGCCATTTCACGATCACGGTGACTGTAACGGTTTCCCTTCATATCAGGGCCGATCTTTCGAAGAACCAGCGAACCATGAAAAGATTCGCGGGGGTGCATACGAATCAGCTGCCACCGACACAACTTCAAAGCAGAGAATCGAGCAAAACGCCCTGAGAAACTACGTTCGTCAGCGATTTGCAAACAGGTGATAGTGATTTGTAGATCACTTGTTTTTGCTGAGATAGAAGAGCATTGGGCTAGTCTGTACTATGTTAACGCCGTTCGTATACTGTGTTTTTCGTCCAGCTCTCCGGGAGATTGGCAGTATTGACTGTTCCGTGGGAAGAAATTGCATTACCGCCAACGATGTCAACTAGCTGATCAGCACTCAGCGTGGATTGCAACCTCTTCAACACTAATTCGGTGACGAGACCAGCATCGGCGCAGTGTTGGAATACTGTCTTTGCAGCTGCAGCTCGCTTTTCACCTGCGGGCATGAGATTCCGAAGCGCAGTTAGAAGTGTTGCAAACGTTACTTGATTGGGCTTCGCATGTTCTGAGGCCACAAGTTCCTTATATGTCTTGACTGCTATCTGAAGCGCATCTCGTTTTTCTAATAGGTCGTTCTCACAATACGCGCAGCTGTTTATTACTGCGGTATACGCATGCACGTTTGGCTTGGCTTTGATCACTCCATTTTGGTGCATTTTAATCATCTTTGATAGAATTGATCTTGCTCTGGCAGCTTTGCCAAATTTTCTTGTTTTTCCCCAGGCAGATATGGTAGACGTAAAGGTGAATTCATTTGGCATCAACTCTTCATCGTTCTCGACTTCATTAATGTCAATGAGCCAGTTCAACAATGCCTCCGCTCGCTCGCCAGAGTCGTTTTCTCGAGACTTTTGCCAGCATTCTATCACTATACTGACTAGTTTGGCATTCGGCTTGGCATCAAGGTTCCCATCTTTGTAGTCTTCGTACATCTCGAACAAGACGCTCTCTGCTTTTTCAGCTGCCCTTTTCGTTTTCGACCGAACAAGACTGTCTATTAGTGTCACGAAGCTGAACAAGTTTGGTTGAGCGAGCGTATTGCCATCATTGTAAGCTTGCACCATTCGTCTAAAAACGTCCCCAGTCTTTTCGAAAGACTTCGGATCCTTTGATTTCGCCCATCTGAAAGCGGTTGAAGAAGCATGAGAAATCACTACCATTTGTAACAATTTAATATAATCATCCAACATCCTCACCCATTCATCAGCGTTGTATAGGAGACTACATTTGGAGCAACCGTTCCCGTACGACTGTCTTCCCCTCTTCCAGCATACACCCCTTGTTCCATTCTATCAAGAATGTTTTCGGCCCTTCTGATTTGTCGGCATCTTACCCAAGCGCTCATTACTGAATGGTAAAATACACACTTTTCAGATTAATCAGATATTCTTTCATTGCGCAAACACAGCTAACTTACCACTGTTAAGTGTCCAGACATTGGGAGCAAGACCCATTGCTGACATTTCCGAAAGCATTGCATCAGCTCGTTCTGCAGAATCCACATTCCCTTTCTTGGCGTAAGTGGAAATTAGAGTCGAGTAACTGATCGTATTGACAAATCCAAGCTCTTTCATTCTTCCTAGCAGAATCTCTGCGCGTTTTTGAGAATTAGGATCATTGCTCGCTTTCCAAGCTTTGAGTACGGTATTGAACGAAACTGTATTAGCAATGCCCTTAGCTTGCAGCGCGTTCAAGTGTGCCTCTGCTTTACTAGCCGACCCTGGTGAAGAGCAGGAGGCATAAGCGTCCAACAATTGTGATTCTAGAAACACATCAGAATCAATTCCCGTGGACTTCGCTTTGTTCACTAGCCGCTCTACTCGCTGTATAACATTCTTTTCGCCACTATGAACCAGTGCAGAGACTGCGGCCAAATACGTGTTCTTGTCGGGGGAAAAGCTGCATTCACTATGATCACAGAGGTAGTTGATAATGTCCTCGGCACGTTTGCCTCTATTGGATTCACTCGACCGTGACCATGCATTCAAAAGCATATTGTAGGAATATAAGTCTGGGTAGCATTGTTGTCCGAGGCTGAGTTGCTGGGATCGATCAATCATTCCTTGTACTATCTGTTCTGCGTCACGGGGCCTTCCGAGTCTCCCATAGACAGAGAGAAGAACATTGAAATCAATTGTTGCAGGGTAAATATCTTTGTTTTCCATTTCATCTAGTAGCGCCGTAATCCGCTCGTGATTGTCAAGTTTGGCGTTTGCATTCATCAGTGCATTGTAAGTAACCCTAGTAGGTTTTAGCCCTGGAGAGCTCTCGCCTTGTCTCTTGAGTCTCTCCATGATCATTTCAGCCCTTTCTGGGGCATCTGCATTTCCTGCTTTCCCCCACGCAACAATGGCAATGGTGTAGTGCTTGTTTGTGAGGGCCACGTTTTCATTCCCAGCGTTCATTTCCATTTCTAATCGGTTGAGTAATTTATCGACCCTCACTGCAGCATCTGTAGACTCTGATCTGCACAACGATAACATCATTGGGAAGACTTGATCGATGATACTTGATCTCAACGAGCCAGCACCATCAGAGCTTTCGTCCAAAATTTGCTCAATTTCTTCTATTGAAGACTGCCCAAGTTTGTTGCACCGGTATAGAACTTCGTCTTGCGAGGTAGAGGGGCAAACATTCGTTGGTTGAAGGGCCAAAGGCTTGGATATCTTTCCAAATCGACTCGAACTACCAATCCATCCATTTTCGAGTACAAACGCTTGAGTTCGAATGAGAAAACAGAAGACTGCGAACAAGCTGGTAGGGCGCATTTCAACTGGGTGTCGTCCAAAAAAGAGTTGTGTGTTGAATTTGAGATTCCGTTTTCACGCTGTGCAGCTTTCTTCTAGTAGTACGTTAAAAAAAAAAAGGCACACGTGTTCCTACCATACGAACCTATGCGTGGGGCCAGCGCATTTTACCAGTTGTTGAAAAAAGATACCGAAACTTTTTTCACTGCTTCCACGTGTGAACTTGGAAAACGAAATGCTGTGCAGTAGAGCAATGAGGAGGTTGGACTAGACACTGTAGTTACGAAGGATGTCTGCCACCGCACCTCCCATGAAGTCTGATCTCTTGGTAGGAGATATATCTTCTTCTTGAAATGGACTGGTTTGCCTCACAAGATCAATTGCATTTGTGATGGTCGAGCGTTTCCAATTGTCAAACCGCCGTTGCTGCAGTTTGCTCCCGGATTCTTCAAAGCGAGCTACTTCCATCGATTCTTCCAGCTGTCTATTAGCTTGCTGCAGTAAATCAGTAGTCGCATTAAGCGCCAATTTGTTTGACAAGAGTCCATTTGATTTCAAAAGCTCTGAGGAAAGACGGGCAGTTTGTGGCGCTATCGGTCCTCGCTTTCTACCCATTTGAGTTTTTCGTGGTCCCTTTAACTTTGAAGCTACTCTTGTCCATTTCTCTTTCCCGGAACTGGAATCTTGGCGGGATTCAGTGGCCTGGCAAGTAGATTGGACGTGCCGCAGGACACTATTGAATACAGAACTTGTGAAATCAGTAGAGGCATCAATAACATGTTGTATTTGCAGTCGCTTAATGTCGTCATCATCACCATCGCCAGCAGAGTTTGTTTTCACAGTGACATCAGAAGCAGCCGCGATGAAAAAACAGGACGCCTCGTAAGCCTTTCGGTGATCGTAAATATCTCGGAGCTGGTGTCCTCGTTCCGTGGCTGGTAGCTCTTGAGCATGTTTCGTCACAGTCTGAAAGAGCTTTGCGGCGCGTTGCGCAACACCATTTGGATCCCGAACATATGAACCCAATTTTATTGTCAGGAAAGGAATGGTGCTTGCTTCTGTGAAAGATCTGTTGTTCTCTCTTCCTTTGGCCGCTTGCGATGCACGTCCAAGTCTGCGAAAATTGCCAATCGTTTGATGAAACTTTGTAAAATCTCTCTCTCTCATACACGCTGCCGTCGCTAATTGCTTCATAGGTATCTTTATTCCGCCACGTTCTCGGACTACGTATTCCAACAATGCACAAGCTCGTTTGAGATCATTGTCTTGCTTGCCAAAAGATCCATTGGGATGCTTCAATTTGAGCAACCGAAGGGCACTTTGTGTTTCTTGCAGGAGGTTTGGTGGGATGGGTTGGTCCAGCTGGAGTTTGTCTGCTATCAGAGCTGCTGGGTTTTGAAAGGACATTCTCGGCACCTAATTCCATGGCCAACGCAAACATTGTGATACCGGTGCCTAGAGTACGAGTAGACTTCTTGATAGACGGCCCGGTTGCGGATAATGTCACTGGAGACATGATAAGGACACGCAAAACAAGGGACAAACTTCTGTAGTACCTGGTACTGATAAAAGCTTACATGGAAAAGTACAGCGTACCTTAGTGCAGAATGGTACTGTAAATACACAGAAAAAGCAAAGTACCAACATGTACAGCACACTTCGATCAGGATCGAACAATCAGATCCAGACCTGCCTTCGTTTGCTTTCGTGCCAAGCCGCATTTGCATTTTGATCTGAAAGGGAAGACGGACTATGAGTAATGCCAGCCAGAGAATCATTCCGCTCGAGGAGGGATGGAATGATGAAATCAAAGCGAAGGTGCGTTGGGAAATCAAGTGGTTTAATGTCGTTGCACTGGGATATATCAGGGATGACAAAAGCATTTCGAGATGCACTTGTAAAGTTTTTTTGTATGATCGTGTTTGAGTTCAAGGCATTATGAACTCATACTGTAGAAATCATTCAACAATTACAGGCAATCGACAAGCTGGAAGCTTTATTGAACGGAGGTTTGGACTCCGGTCAAGCAAGCATGTTTGGGCCAAGAGAATATGTCCAAATCTATACGTGAGTGGAATGACCAACTTTTGCTTATATCTTAGACTTGACTGCTGCATGCAAGCAGACGCAGCTTTCCCCTTTCTAACGGCATTGGTTTCTAATGGATTTCAGAACTTGCTACGACATGTGTACCCAGCGCTCCCCTTACAATTGGTCCCGCGAGCTATACGATCGTCATGGTCAAACCATCGAGCGCTACCTGACTTCAAATGTTCTTCCTGCTCTCCGTGAAAAGACAGGTCAAGGTGGTACAATTTTACTCCGAGAACTCAATCATCGATGGACGAATCATCAAATTATGAACAAATGGCTGAAAAAATTCTTTACCTATCTTGATCGGTACTACGTCAAGCATCACAGCCTACCAACCCTGAGCCAATCTGGTCTCCGCCGGTTCCAAACGCATGTCTACGATGAAATGAAACAGGACACAACAACTGCGATCTTGGGATTGATCAACGAAGAACGAGAGGGAAAGATCATAGACAAGAGCTTAATCAAGAGCATAGTCGAACTCTACGAAAGCATGGGTATGGGGACTCTGGATGCATACAACGCGGACTTGGAGGAGGCGCTACTCTCTGCAACCAGAGAATATTATGCCAAAAAAAGAGATTTCTGGATCAATGACTCCACACCAGAGTACCTCGTGAAGGCAGAAGAAGCTCTCAATGAGGAGAGGAATCGTGTCGCGGACTACCTCAACTCCTCTTCAGAATCCAAGATCCTCAAAGTCGTGGAAGAGGAAATTCTAGAAAAGGTTGAAATGGTCCTGCTAGAGAAGGAGACTTCTGGTTGTCGTGCGCTCTTACAGAATGACAAGTCGGAGGATTTGCAGCGAATGTTCCGTCTTTTCTCCAGACTTGAAAATGGATTGAATCCAATGGCCTCAATCGTGCAAAGTTTCATTTCTACGATGGGAGATGATATCACCAACCGTCGACAAGCAAGATTGGACGGGGGAGAAAAGGACAAGAACGATGATCCTCGCTTCGTAAAGGCACTAATTGCTTTGCACGAAAAATACCTAGGAGTTGTCAAGAAGGACTTCTCTGGCCATTCGCTTTTCCAAAAGGCCCTCAAGGATGCCTTCGTTGAAGTTGTAAACAAAAACGTCGGACAGTACACCAACGCGGAGCTAATGTCGACATTTTGCGACCGAATCCTCAAAAGTGGTGGCGAGAAGCTGAGCGAATCTGAAGTAGAAGAGACTTTGGATCGCATTGTTCAGATTTTCTCGTACTTGACTGACAAGGACATGTTTGCCGAAATCTACCGCAATCAATTGGCCAAGCGCCTTCTAAACCAACGCTCGACTAGCAACGATGCCGAAAAGCTAATGATTGCCAAATTGAAGATGCAGTGTGGAACACAATTCACGTCGAAGATGGAGGGTATGCTCGCTGATCTTGCTGTTGGAAGTGAGCAACGAACTGAATTTGAACAGCGCATGCGAAGTGTTGACACGAAACTTGATTTCAGTGTTCAAGTGTTGACCACTGGGTTCTGGCCATCATACAAGAGTCCCCAAGTTTCTCTCACTCCCGAGATGTCCAAGTGTATGGGTGTTTTCAAAGAGTGGCACGACACGAAACATCAAAAGCGAAAGCTCTCTTGGATGTTTTCGCAGGGAAATGCTTCGGTCAGAGGCACCTTTGGGAAGAAGTCATATGATCTACAAGTGTCGACTCTGCAGGCCATTGCCTTGAATGCGTTGAATGACGGTATCACTCTCACCTTTGAAGAATTTTCCAGAAAGCTCAACCTTGATCACGCCATCATGAAGCCTCTCATGCACTCACTTTCTTGTGGAAAATACAAGGTTGTCAGAAAGACTCCTCCAGGTAACAAGATCAACGCCTCTGACAAGTTTGCTGCAAACGCCAAATTCACTTGTAATATGCGGAAGATCCGCATTCCCATGGCATCTTTGGACTCGTCATTCAACACTAAACGCGTTGAAGAAGATCGTTCGATTGCTATCGAGGCTGCAATTGTGAGAATCATGAAAGCGAGAAAAACACTACAGCATCAACAGCTGTTGTCTGAAGTTTTGGCTCAACTTGCGTTCTTCAACCCGAATCCTCGCGTCATCAAAAAGCGCATCGAAGCTTTGATTGATCGCGAGTATCTTGAGAGAAGCGCCGATAATCCACATGTATACAACGTAAGTCTCTTCGCTATCATTCCTTTTGTTGTTTCTTCTGATTGCGGATGTTCTAACGATATGTTTGGTAACTTAACAGTATCTGGCATAAAGAAAACCTAATTGTTCAACCAAAAATGCAATAACCAGATAGTTCTTTGGGAAATATAATTTCATTTATCTGTGAAATGCTCGTAACCCGCGGCTGAGTGATCTCAACAGTAGTCATCTTGGAATTGTCGCAACTTGTATTTTTCACAATGTCCTCGTTATCGTACAAGTGGTGCCGCATGCTTTGTGCAGTGCGCTATTCACACACACCGAAACATATTCATTATCATATGAATTATTGTACCGAGACAAATTGTAAGAACAAGGTTCTTAACAAGTTCCATAGTACTTCCACTGGAACTCTGGTACTGTATTAGTAGAACGTGTGCTGTACCGTTACCGATACCTGGTACGCGGTACGGTAGTACGTTACTATGAGTGGAGCACTGACATCCGTGTGTGCGTCGTTTGGTGGTACTTTGAACTAGTGCTTCAGTACTGTAGCCAGCCTCAACGCCACTTCTCTCACGCTAACCATATTTGATGTTCGTGCGCACAAGCAACAAAGACCAAACACTGATCATAGGTAGTCATGACCGATTCCAATGGACAGTTTCTCAGTAGCAATGGTGAGTAAACCGAGGTATTGGGAAACACTGAAGCAGATGGAAGAGAGACTAACCAAATGCGAAGTCAACCCAACGTCCACCCTTTTAGAGAAACCAATGGTGGCTCCCATATTGCATGCTTCGACCACAGATCACATGGTGGCTAGTCAAAACCGCGGACTCCAAACCACGATGAAGCACGACGTAGCCCCCAAGAGATTCAAGAGGTGAGGCTACATGGTGTTATTTCTTTCTTCTTCGCACACGGAAAGGTCCTCATTTGTTATTAGTTCCTTTATTTTTTTCTCCATGGAAAAGCACAAAGAGATAAAAGAGCAGCTAGCGAAAGATGGAAAGGCAACAAAGGTTCGTAGATTGTTTCGCATTCAAATATCCAATGAAAGAAGCCTAACTTTACTCCCACAGACTACAAATATAACCAAGATAGTATCAGATGCGTGGAGAAATTTATCTTCTGAAGATAGGGCGAAGTACAATGCCATGGCTTCTGAAGATAAAGAGAGATACGACACTGAGAAAGCTGCGTACAGTGCACCACCCGGTGCTTCAAAGAAAAAGACTCGCACACCCGGAATGCCACGACGCCCGAGCTCAGCCTTCTTGGCTTTTGCAAATTGCAGACGAGCGCAAGTGAAGGCCGAGAATATGGACAAATCGAACGGAGCCATATCGAAGATCCTGAGCATAATGTGGAAGGAAGCCGACGAGGAGATAAAATCAAAATACAAGAGTGACGAAGCGGCTCTTTGGAAAAAGTATAAGACTGCCATGGAGGAATGGCGGAAGAAAGAAGGATCTATCAAACAAGAAAAGGGTGAGCGACGCAAAATGGTGGCAAAAGTTGAAGAAAAAGAAAAAACTTCGTCACTACAAGCCATAAAGAAGCGCAAGGTCGATCCTGTGTCTCTCTCCAATGATGCCGTGTCAAATCTGAATCATGCCAGTGTTTTGCCAACTATATCTGCTCTTCATGGCGTGGAAACAGGGGCAACCTTACCGCTAGCTTCGATCAACAGGAATCCTGGTGCTGCATCAGCATATGCTGCACTTCTGCACGGTGGTATCGATCCTTATGGTCTGAGTCTCGGACTTTCTGGAAGTCTATTGGGAAGCTCACTTGGATATTCAACAGATTTTCTAAGTCCGTCCCCTAACTTAGCTATGCTGTCGGCTCTATCGCGCCAACCTTTGGCGACATTCCCTTTTGAACGGTCACATTCACTTTTGTCGACACAGGCACTGTATGGACTGCAAGAGCCATTGTATACCAGCTCAGGTATGTAAAAACGGTATATCTTTCTTATGTATTCGCTTACGAGTACTCATTCTCGGTTGCCCCACCAATAAAGCCCACCAACTTTCATTGTCTCGTATGGCGGCATTCCTTGCTGCGGAAAGAAGAGCGGCAAGCCAAGGAAGTGACGAGGGGAATACAAAGACTGTCCCTAACCCCCCCGAAAGCGACTCCTAAGGGATGTTGTGTTATGTGGGTCAGTGGAAGGAAAAGGGATCAGATCAGAGATAGCAGCTATGACCCATTTCCTTTTGCCTTGTTTCATAGATGTAAAATGATTGGCCCAACCAAAGCTCGAAAACTGCACGGACTTCCAAACAATTATTGCACGCATACGTATCATTTATTGCATCAGGCCACGTTTTGGTATGCCAAAGATAGCCATGAAACGAGCTGTATTGGCAGGCGAATGTACTGTAGTACTGTTGTGGCGTTGGTGTGATGTGATTTTGTATGAAACAGTCAGAATTCGAACGAAATGATACCTAGAAATTACTGAGGAAAATTAATATATTTGACAAATTCCGAAGAAACTGGAACTTGATTGCAATCTACCGGTACAGTACTGGTAGTAGTTGGTATAATCAAGGATAAAAGGAGATGCTGTACTGCGAGCTTGTCGGCCAAATCATCTTGTGAAACAAGTTGCCTAGTGGATGCATAGTCGGACTTCTTGGTTGTCCCACCGCATAAAAGTCTGCAAACACTACCCGAACCAAGTGGAACAAACATTCCACTTTCATAATGTCGTTTTGAAAGACTGGGTTATCAGAAAAACAGCATACAAATCTTCAGATTAAACATGTTTAGCTACATCACCGGGTCACAAGTGCATCTCCTTTTATCCTTAGTATAATCATCCTCGCTAAAACACTTTACTGTACACGTACGTGGTACTGTGCTGTAAGTTCCTACCGCACTGTACTTTCAACTTTTGATTTCACTTTTTGGCTTTTGAATCACGAGTCGAGTCACGGCAAATAAAGTCATGACTGCTTCCGGGTCATCACTCCTCGCGGCTGCAACCAAGTCGCTGCTACAAGCTACAAGTATTTGTTCGAATTCCAAAACAATGGTGAGTTTATTGCATTTCGTGTCACCTGCAATCGAAATCCTTGTTCTAACATCACTTAAAATATTGTAGGGTGATATTCAATATTGGGATGACACTCTTACAGAAGAGATTTCATCGATTCAGCAAGTTTTGGACAGTGTTCCATCGCTTTCCGACCCAGTGGAGAGGGCATCTGCCCTAGATCAAGCTGAAGAGCGCTTAAAGGGTGCCCAAGGAACCAAGCGATCTTTCAAAATGGAAACACGTTTGGTACAGGATGTTAAACAACGCCGGAAACTTGAGAAGCGATTGCAAAAACTTGACCAGCAGTTACGGGCACTTAAAGCCGATCTAAAGGCTTTGCAAGCTGAAGAAGGTCGAGGCCAACTTTTTGTAGGAGCTGGCGGCGGCGGAGGTCAAGACGCAGATGAAGATCCAGCCAAAGCTGGGACCAACATGTTAAATGAAGCAAAAGCTCTGCAGGACAAGACTCAAGACTCCTTGGCAAATACTAAAAATCTGATTGCTCAATCGAAAGAAGTTGGTGTCTCAACATTAGAAGAGCTTCAGCGGCAACGCGAGGTTATCGAAAATATCGACAAGGAGGCGGATCGAATGGATGATAACTTGGCTCGTTCTCAGGCTCTGCTGAAGCAATTCGGGAAAAGGATGGCTACTGACAAGTTTATCCAGTGCTTCGCTGTGATCAACTGCTTGCTTTTGCTCGGCGTTGTGATTTACGTGCTATTTCTGAAGAAAGATGATGATGAAAATGATGCTGCTCCTTCGAACCCATTTGGTCGCATGCTCCGACATCAGATTTAGTTGCAATTGTGCATATTAGGAGCGAACTGTTCGCTCTTGGAAGCATACGAATCAATTGCTTGCAGTATCGACAGTCTACGTGTGAGTACTATAATCAAAATTTTAGGTAAATTTGAATTTATGCCACTTTCACTGGTAAATTTGAATTTACGCCACTTTCACTGGTACAGTTGAATTTACGCCACTTTCAGCGGTTCGTCATCTTGATACGCTTCCAAAGGTGGGCAAGTGCACACGAGATTGCGATCACCATACACATTGTCTACGCGGCCAATTGTGGGCCAAAACTTGTTGCTTCGGCTCCAAGGTGCCGGGAAGCAACCTGAGTCTGGGCTGTAGGAGTGGCTCCATTTTGTGAGGTCACTGAGAGTGTGGGGCGCGTTGTGAAGAGGAGAATCTTCGTACTTTACACGACCGCTTCCGATATCGTCAATTTCTTTCCTAATAGACAGCATTGCATCACAGAAGCGATCAAGCTCCTGAAGATCCTCTGACTCAGTTGGTTCCACCATCAATGTTCCTGCAACTGGCCACGACATCGTTGGAGAATGAAAACCGTAATCCTGCAATCGCTTCGCTACATCTTCTTCTGTTACACCTGTAGAAGCCTTCAATGGCCGAAGGTCAAGAATGAACTCGTGGGCGCACTGTCCATTTTTACCGAGGAATAAAATGTCGTAGGCCCCATTCAAACGAGCTGACATGTAGTTCGCATTCAAAATTGCTTGGCTGGTGGCCAGCTTGAGACCTGGTTCGCCAAGCATCTTGATGTACATCCAGGAGATTGGGAGGATTGCAGCTGAACCAAATGGAGCACCTGCAACGGCACCTTCAGTTCTTGGCACGCAATTATCGTTTCCACACAGCTTTCCCGAAGCTTCTGGATCAGACACGTGGCCCGGCAAAAAGGGAGCTAGGTGACTTGCAACTCCAATTGATCCAACACCTGACAAACATCAGATTAAAAAACGGAATATCATAATGTGGACAAACCATAGGAACCTACCTGGACCACCACCTCCGTGGGGAATGCAAAATGTTTTGTGAAGATTCAAGTGGCACACATCTGCTCCAATACGACCAGGGTTCGTAATACCGACTTGAGCATTCATATTGGCTCCATCCATGTACACCTGCCCTCCAGCTTGATGTACCATATCGCAAATTTCCACGATACCTTCTTCAAAGACCCCAAACGTTGATGGATACGTAACCATGAACGCTGCAAGCTTATCAGCATGCTTTTCAATCTTGGCTCCAAGATCTGAAATGTCTACATTCCCGGCATCATCATTGTCTACAACGACAACTTTCATGCCAGCCATTACAGCACTAGCTGGATTCGTGCCATGGGCACTCTTTGGAATCAGACAAATATTTCGGTGCCCCTCGCCAATGGATTCTAGGTATTTCGTGATTGCCAAAAGACCTGCATACTCACCCGTAGCACCAGAGTTTGGCTGAGCACTGACAGCAGCAAAACCTGTGATTTCACAGAGGTCCTTGTTCAGGTCTTCAATCATTTCGTGGTAACCCTCAACTTGATCGTGTGGCGCAAAAGGATGAATATCGCAAAACTCTGGCCATGTAACTGGAATCATTTCACTAGTAGCATTCAACTTCATTGTACACGATCCCAAGGAAATCATCGAGTGATTCAACGCGAGATCCTTGTTTTCTAGAGACTTAAGGTATCGAAGCATTTGAGTCTCTGAGTGGTGCTGTCGGAAAACCGGGTGTTCAAGAATTTCTCCTTCACGAGAAAGGCTGGATGCCAACTTAGTCAGCGATTCGTCTGCAGACATATCGGGGTTGGAGATCTGGAAACCTCCACTCAAGAGAGCAGATAGATCATCTCTCATGATTCCTTCACCCATGGAAACTCCTACCGTGCTGTCGTCAATGATTCGAACGTTGGCTCCAATTTCCTCACAATTCTTTTGGATGTCAGCTGCCTTCATTCCTTTGGACGATACATCAACGGAAAAAGTATCGAAGAATTCCGACTCATTCACCACATATCCTGCTTTCTCAATTTCTCGACTCGCCACACGTGCCAGCGCATGGATGCGGCCACTGATCGCCAACAAGCCTTCTGGTCCGTGATAAATTGCATACGCAGCTGCCATGTTGGCAAGTAGAGCTTGTGCGGTGCAAATGTTGGAGGTGGCCTTGTCTCTCCTAATATGCTGTTCACGGGTTTGCATTGCCATTCGAAGACAGGGTTTTCCTGAAGTATCAACAGTTACACCGATAATTCGGCCAGGCATCTTTCGAGAATAAGCATCAGATGTTGCCAGAAATCCTGCATGTGGTCCCCCGAATCCCATTGGAACACCGAATCGTTGGGCAGACCCAACAGCAATATCAGCTCCCCACGATGAAGGTGGGGCAAGTTGAGTCAACGCCATTAGATCAGTCGCGGCGATAACCATGGCATCGGCACTGTGGGCGCGTTCAGCGAACGATTCGTAGCTTTCTCCTGACGATTCCAACGCTCCGTACGTATTCGGGTATTGGACAATGGCACCACAATAATCACCATTTGAAAAGTCTGCTTCCGAATGTTTTCCAATAACAATTTCAATACCAATGGCTTCCGATCTTGTTTGAATTAGGCCGATCGTCTGTGGGTGAACATCCTCCGAAACGAAGAATTTGTTTCTCTTCCCCCTCTTCCCTTTTAGAGCAAAACACATCTGCATAGCTTCGGCAGCAGCACTGGATTCATCTAGGAGTGATGCAACTGCCATCGGAAGCCCAGTCAAATCGACGACGAGTGTCTGGAAGTTCAAAAGCATCTCAAGTCGTCCCTGAGAAATTTCTGCCTGATATGGAGTATAGGCAGTATACCACCCCGGATTTTCCAACATGTTGCGTAAAATTACAGCTGGTACCTGTGTGTCATAATAGCCTTGACCAATGTATGATTTCATCACCTTGTTCTTCTTCGCAATAGCCTTGAGTTTTAACAAAGCTTCCGTTTCTGACATCGGTTCGTCTAAGTTGAGAGCGGATTCCACCACGATATTTTCAGGAACGGTTGACTTAATTAGTTGCTCAAATGACTCAAAGCCAATGGTGGACAACATCGATTTCGATTCCTCAAGCCTGGGACCCACTGTAGGAAGAAAAAAGTTTGAGAACATACACCATCATTGTGGTACGAAGCTAGGGTAAGCAACAAATCTTAACAAACTACCAGGTATCATCAACCGCATAAACATGCACAAACGACAAATGCTGCACAACTATGTTAATGCCTCGAAATGGCTCGAAAAGCTTCAAACAATCGAGTTTCGACGGGTGGTCGTTTTGAGCAATGATAAACTTTGACTTACTGTGACGCCGAGCAAATGAGTCTGCCATATCCAATGCATCGGAGCTTTGCATGCCACTAGAATGGAATAGCTGCCGAGAGTGAGAAAGTCTAAGGCGGGAGATAGCAAACTGCCTCATTTGAAGGCTTTTTCGAAGGATCATCTTTGGTTAGTAGCCGTTTGCTTCACGGTAAAATGTGATCTATTGTCTATTGTCATCATGCACGAGGAGGAAGAAGGTCAGAACGATGGATTCTTCTTTCGGCATTCGTCAGTGATGACGTGGCTAACTTGTGGTTCGAGTGAGTCGTCATCTACCCCAGACACTTGGAGTTCAAGCACAAGGTATGCATGATTACTTTAGTTAACAGAACTCGCTATTTTGTTGTAAAAACAATAGTGTGGCTTCAAAAGTGGACCCCTCTTTCATGAGTCTATTTGATATCTCTGCAGCATACTCCCGAATCTCTTTTCCAACTTCGATAAGGGCGATTTGGTACCTATCACTCTCCCGTTCAATAGTATCGAGCAATATTTCAGCATCTTTGTTTCCTCCAGAAGAAACAATCACATGAACTAAGCCTGCAGTATGGCGGCCCAAGGCGAGTACGCAACAACCATCAGAATCATCAGCCATCTTTAATTTCGCTGTTGCCGCAAGGAGATGGATCATGATTTTGCCCCTGTGATGGGCCATCATGGGATAGGCTCCAGCCATTAGATTGATCAATGCTACAAAGAGAGAAGCAAAGATTTTCTTGTCGGCAGTCTCGGAAACAAGGAGGGGGAGCAAAGCAGAAAGGCCGAGGCGCCCGAGCTCAATAGCATCTGCTTTGGGCAACTTGGCATGTTGGAACAGCAGTGGAATAATGCCACCCACAAGCACGTCCCAAGGAGATAATTTGGAGCTTACCCCAAGCGCTAACTGTTGCAACTGTAGCAGCCATTGACGGGTTATTTGCTTTCGTTTCTGGCCAGAATCCTGAAATATTTCACCGAACAAATAGCTTTGAGCTTGGCCAATAAGTATATATGCCGGACCGTTGCGATGCGTCGTAAAGGCAGAATTTAATGCTACAATACAATGCCCTTCGTATTCCAGCCAATATTTACTTTTCCCCGTCACGTTCAGCAACGCAAGGAGCGCACTGACCCCGAGACAGCAGAAAACATTGTCGGGCGAATCAATCAGCTCCAAATACACTGGAAGAAGGTTCGACAGTAATTGCATGCATTCCTCGCCTTGTTCAACTGAGAGGTACAAGCAAAACATCAACGCCATGTACGCTCGTGATGGTGTTGTCCTGTAAGGCTTTTCCATTGCGATGGATTGTGTCTTCGTTACCGTTCTCCCTAGCATCACATAAGTAGACGCTGTCCGTTTTTCGTCTGGGTCGAATTGCTCCTCGTTCCTTGCGAAAAACATGGTGCGAACCACTGATGAGAGTGTCCCCATACCCAAAGTGCGAATCACGTAGTGCTTTATTTGAGCCTTGTCTTCCGGAGGAACTGTAAGCTTTTCTGTCACTTGGTTGCTCTGCTGTTTCGCCAGCAATGCAGCCATATCCGTCCATACGATCTCCGCTGACCTCGTTTGAGTACCGACGATGTGATCATTCCAGCTACTATCATCTATTGATAATAAAGACCAATCGATTGATTGAAACGTAAATAACTGCGAAATTTCGGTGCCAATTCTGCTATCTGGAGGCACGACGCAGGTGTTTTTCAAGCTGAATACGTGTCTGTCGGTCAGCATTGGTGCAATAACACTTGGATCCAAGCCATCGGTGCTTGATATTAAAGTTGATAGTGCACACCTAGCCAAAGTTTCCGAGTCAAGAGGAGCGGGACGAGGATCGTCTTCAGAAATTAAAATGTTCAACAAGTGATGCTGTAACCGTCGCAACGTCGGAATTGCTACGTTACAACGGATGTATGGGCTCAAACCGACTTTTGGCGCTGAAGTGACTGCGATCAAATCATGAGAAAGAATCCTCAATTGTTGCCATAGCTTTTTGCGCTCGGAAACCGATAGGGAAATTGCAGCAGTTGCACTGAGATGATTGATCAATCCACACATCAAAAGCTCGTAATGTTGAAGCAATGATATAGATCCGACATCATCGTTCATGACACATGGTCTTACAAAAGTCGAATAGCCGCAAAAATATTCGATGACTGTATGGAAAGAAGCTGAGGAACACAGACATTCTAGCCAGTATGAGTCTATTCGAGATACTCTTGGCTCTTGCGATTGCCCATCCTTGGCGTCAAAGTATGGTTGCCGTTCTTCTACTTCATGTATGTCCTGACAATAATGTTTCGCAAGCTGCGTCAAAACTTCGGACGTTGAGTTCGGTGGCAACTGTCCCGACTTTTCGTTCATATGCGAAGAGACCTGAAGCCATTGATGATCACTGCGGGTGAACTGATATGAATGAATGAAGTGATATGTGATATTCAATACAAGTATGGTACAGTTACAGATGGGTACAGTGAGCTGAAGAATGCATGATGGTGTGAAGCGAAGGATTGATTCCTTCGACTTCTTTT